CCCTACATTAGGGTGACAAGTAGAGGAATGTGGATTCCCACAGTGCTAGTTAATAATGGATCTAGGTTGAATGTGTGCACCATGGGCACATTGCATGCATTAGACCTTGGAGAGAGCAATGTGGTAAAGACACCAATGACCATCATGGTGTTTGAGAATTCTGTCCAATCAAACTTGGGGAATATCAGTATGGACATTACCATAGGGAAAACCACTTACCAAATCAACTTCCAGGTGCTTGACATCAAAGCTTCCTTTACTTTGTTGCTAGGGTAACCTTGGATGCATATGGTCATGACAGTTCCCTCGTCTCCTCATCATCACTGCGTCAAAGATTGAAATTTGTGTATGAAAATGAGCTAATTACCATTTTATGTACACCAACAAGAAAATCCTTAGTGCAACATATGAAGGAGAGTGCAAGAAGCAAGCAAGGAGCTGGTCCCACACCTAAGGATGATGGCCAAAATGAGGTTTAACCCTACTAGAGGTTTAAGAAAGAAGTAGTAGGGGCAAAAGTGTTAGTTCAAGGCTAGAAAATCGGTATTCAGGTTTGGCCTCGGATACAGGTTAGGTGAACATGATCTGTTTGGTAGAAGGAAGAAGAAAATATCTTCCCTTACTACCTCAATCCACTTTGTTAAAAGTCATAACCTTACCCAAAGACTAGAGGGGTAAAATGTCCCGTGCTTGCAGCCTGCACAAAGTGTGGGTCGTGTCGTGTTGGCCCTAGCCCATCTTGGGTCATGCTGCCCTCCCCAGGGATAATTTGGGGGGTCGACCGGCATAGCCCATGACCCAAGCTTGTGTGGGCCTGTGCCGTGCCACGAGCCTGGAGCTTAGGCCGGGCGGGCTGCAAGCCATACCGAGCTGGGCCATAGGTCAGTCCTTGGGCGTCAACCGAACTAGGTTATACTAGTTTTTTTTTTTATTTCTTTGCTAAGTAAAACTAAAATATTTAACTTTCCTTTGGGAACTATTTGAAAAAATAAGAAATCGAACAAAGAAATGAAAAAAAAAAATACTTAACCAAATAAGAAGTCAAAGAGACAAAGACTCAAAGTGAATAACAAATTAGAAGAAAAATATGAATTTTAATTCATTTAAGTTTGAATGATACAAAGCATACAATGGTTGGATAAATGAAATATGAAAATTGGAAAATGGAATAAATTAAAAAATATAAAAATACAATATAGTTACAAATTGAATATAAAAAATTACGTTATTAAAAAATATCAAATAAACTAAATAAAATTAAAACAAAATTTACAACTATTGAGTATACAAGAAATATTTACTTCATCATTTTCTTCTATTGCTCTTGACTTTGATCATTGTAGGAATTAAAAATGGTGGAGGACAGGGCTATTTATAGGAATTGAAAATAATTTAATTGCCCAAAATACCCTAAAAACTAGTCATTTTTTAGTTGTCTGGAGGGGTATTTTGGTCATTGTAAATTTATTTATCACTTTACCTAAAATGCCCCCAAAACTAGCTATTATATAGCTATTGGGGGGACATTTGTGTCATTCTTTCTCCCCCAAAACCAAAATACATAAATACCCTCTATATAGTTGTTTATACTTGTTGGGGGGTATTTCTATAAAAAAAACCCTATATAGCTATGGGCCAATAGACCGTGCCAACACGTGAGCCGTGGGCTGTGTCATGCCAGCCCGTGGACTTGGAACCCCATGCCCAGAAGGGCCGAGGCCATCGTGCTTGGCCTAGCATGGTCCGCATGCCATCGTGTCGTGTCGTGCTGGGCCGGTCCAAATTCAGGTCGTGTCGTGCTGGGCCCGATTTACACCTTTACTAAAGACCAACCCCCCCTCCCCCGAAACCCATGACCTTCCAACCAAACCTAAGCCTATTCAATCCCAGACCTCTCGACCTCTTTATTGAAGATGAGGCTAATCACTATATGGTAAAGGGTCTAGTATCCATCCTAGTCAATGAGGCTAGCAGTAGAAATAACAAAAAATTCCCAGCTTATCTGGGAATCTTTAGACAACGATGTTTGTGTGATTGATCAAGGTGACCATGATTATCCAGCTTGTCTCATCCATCATTGCCTGGAAGAAGTTGCAAATTAGAGTGCCTACCCCGTAGAAGTGGGAATCAACGCTAATTTTGATTCTTCCCCTCAAGTTTGAATGTAAAGCTGGAGTGGGGAATTAATGCTCTCTACCCCACCTTTGTATATATTGAGAGTTTTTGGCATTAATGTAAATAGTTCAAAATCGTATGGTGTTTTGTGTCATTCAAGGACACTTATGGAACTACATCGGGCTTAGTCCTTTTAAAAAGGGCACGTAGCGCAGCCCATATGCGTATGAAAATCAACTTAATTCTTTCATACTAGTAACAAGTCTAATCTAATAAGTATGGATTCATCATATATCAGAACATTTCAGAATACAGAATTCCTCTTTTTAGGTCCGTTGAATTGATACGTTAGATACAGATGGATCATATCTTGTAAATTCTCTCTCTTTTCTTTTGTCAATCGATGTTTC